GAAATGAAAATCAAAGATCCCTGCATAATAAACGTTTCGTGTAATAGCCAAAAGCAACGGAAACTGAAAAGTTGTGGAAAGTACTGTTTTGACCTTATTGGGTCTCGCCACTATAGTGTAAATTCATCAACTTAACTGCGGACATTACTCGGAACCTGACAGGGGGAATACACGCGTACTATTAACTGAATAGTGTTAAACTTTACTCTCTCATTTTAGAGAACTCCTGAGGGGAAAAACGAATCAAACAAAATTTACCAAAAGGATGACTTTTTGTTGCCTTCCATTGCGTCCAGGTAAACGTTGAACAATATTGTTCCCTTGTAGAGTAACATTGTTAACTGCAACTGGTGATGCTCCTATAGGAACAGGGATTAGCACAGGGGTAAGTATGGAACCCGCACTGGTCCTACCTTGAAATATTTGATCAGCTCATCCAGGGACATCGGACTATGCAGTACAATCTGANTCCCAAAGCGTGTACGTTGACTTTCCAAAAGGTTCTGCCGGTGGTCCCACAGGATAGAAAATGAAAACAGATGGCACTCGTAAATCCATCTGAACATTCGAATAGGATGACAGTGATTTGTGTCCTTGAATAAGCTAAATTCAGGGGAAAATATGAGGAAAACAGAAGTTTTAAAAATACACAATAGTAAAATCAATAACTCTTTTGAAAAATTTCAACTTTCTAGAGAGTTTGACTGTAACGGTAATCGGTGAACGTCTTGTTCTGATCTGTGATTGGATGAGCTGACACAGAATAGACAAACAATAAAAGTTATCCCCATTCTTGGACTGAGCTTGTTGTGTGATAACACCACATATGATTGGAGAGTCATGGCCGGTGAAACATTATCTATTTTAGAGTAGATCAGAGGGTTGAGATCCTGGACCGAGATGATTAGTGAGTGTACACAACAAAGAATGGTCAGTGAGCCTAATAAGCATTCCAATCAATAATTTCCACGTTCAATTTCCCATAGTTACTGAAAAGTCATTTTTTGATGCAATATGGAAGGATTGTATCTCGGGGTGCGAATGTTGGTGGATTCTCCGATTTGGGGAAGCCTCTCAAATTCCCACCAGAAGAGGTGGAGGGCAGAGTCATTAGTAGTGAACGTATTATTTTCACTCTCAGACTGAAGGTACCAGTTTCCACTATCAACCAATGTGTCCTATTTGTTAAGCTAAAAGTTTGCTATCGGTTTATATATCCCACTTTCATTAGGATAAAACAAATGAGTATAAAAATTTGAAATCTTTCAGCTGACAGGGTGATTCTCTTTAAGACACCTCTTGTTATGGCCTATCGTGGACTTCATTTAAACAATCTTCTGTATTGATCAGTTGACTGACACCGTAAATGCAGTTTTGAATTCTAGCAGTCCGGTGCAAACGTTTTTTCATCACACTACGTATAATATTCTTTTTGCAGTTAAAATACTTAGAGAGACGTCAGATCTACCAGTATCAGGAAACAACTGCAGTGAAAGTTTTTCTTACATACCAAAGGGGAGATCAAATTTTTGAATGTTTCTTTCACAAAGCAAGTCCTGGAGGTTGGAATTAGAGGGTAGTTGTGGTAAGGGATCCGACTGCTGTGCGGTCAAATGAAACGGTAAAAAAAACAAACCAAATGATGTGGATAGAGTTAATATATACTGATACCTCTGATGATTTTCTGTTCCCATATCCGGCCGAATGTTTATCTACCATAAGCTTCCCCTGCTTGAGTGGGCATTCAATTCTCTTGGGTCTAAGAAACTCACAAATGAAATCGGCCCCGTTTGTCTGTCTTCATCGATTCTCAAACGTGGCTCAGGTCTGCTCATAGAGATTTCCACGTCCGTCATTAGAAAATCTACGCACATATGCTCAGCCCGTTATTCCTGGACACCTTCCACCTTTGTTCCAAACCCTCAAAAACATTCTATACAAACGTCTCCATCACTTCGTCTGAGCATAAACTGACAGAGAGCGCTATTCCCACCTGTTTGCAGTCTACTGTTATTGTATACAGTGATCGCCCTCAGTTGGCTTGCAGACCGAATAGATGTACGTTGTACGCTGCCTCCTCACTTGTGAAACATTTTCAAAATCGTTAGGCAGTTCACAAAATCTTATTTTCTTGTGCCTTCCCAAATTATTCTTCGTCCTTTTATTCATTTCCATTATTCCGTCTTCTTTGCAAATCACAGTCATTTGGTTCTCATGTTATTGTTGTGATTGGAAAACTGTTTTTCCCCTCGGAAAGTATTCAAAGAACAAAAGTGAACTAAACCGTTAACAAGTCGGAAATCTCTCAAGGTGCTTTACTTTCTCCCTACTGCATTTTGTCATTCATCTGCGGTTTACCCTTTATCCCTCCAGCCAAGATAAAATTATACACTGAAAATCTAATTCCACGTCAACTTATGTCAACCGAGCCTGATGTGGCAGCATTTTTTGTCAGTTCATCTCAAGTGCGAATGTGTTTAGACCATTGTGGTCTTCATTTGAATACCTCTAAATTGTTGAAACACTTATAGTTTTTCGAGATCTGAGCATCCGTTAAAACTCCAATACTGATAACCAGAACTCGTACCATAAAACACCTTGTGTTGTATCCGGTATGAGTCAGTAAGTACGCAAGTAGTGAATTAAGTAGTAATTATATTTCCAGTATGTAAACGCAAACGTAGCCGGTCCGTAAGCCGGTGAGCAAGCAGTGCGTCAACACGCAGACAGGCAGGCACAGAACTGGCGCAAGTCTTACCAAAAGGAGTGTCATCACGCTGGGCAGTCAACGCACCAATCAATGAGGAGAGATCAATACTGACCTCTGATTCGCTGAGGTGGATCGACCTTGTAACAGGGTAAGTCCGCATGACGTGCGTCCGTGCGTGTGGTGGCAGGCCGCAACGGTCAATCATGTGATGATGAACGGTAAACGTTTCACTCGACCGCAGGCCACAACACCTTGAGGCCCCCAGAGGATGAGAGAATATTCTACTATGGTCATCTCACGTACAAACATGGCAAAGCAAAGTGTGTATTCTTTCAAATGCTCCATCTGAGACAAATTGGAGTGAAGTATGCAGTTCTTTTGTTTACCAGTGCATTTTCCTATCCGAATTTAATTGTGCCATATGATTTTTTCTGACTCACTCGTTTTCTTGCTCTTGGCCGTGGCCTGGCACTTATCAGCTACAGGCTTATGTCCACACGAAAGCACTTAAGCAAGTAAGGAAGTGAGTAATCGGATTTATGTGCCTCTCGGAATATTAGCCCCCGGACTTCAACCATATGCTGAAATCTTTGGAATATTTCATCTGGTTTGGGCATGAAGACCTCACAAAACGCTTATTTAACGAGCCGCACATCTCAAGATCAACATTCGAAGGTCAACATTTGCTTTTGGAATATATTTTCAGTTCTTTCAGTATTAGGGATAATGCGTGAGTAATTTGTAGCCAAATAATTCAAAAATTATTTAAGATTGAATATTTTTATAATTTGTGTTATTTACCGTGCACTGAATGAAAAGAGATAAGCAATTTAAAATGCGTGTGTTCAGCTTAATAAACACTTTCGTGAAACAGGAACCACTCATTAGAATCATTAAATTCCCAAGATGCTTTACATTGAATATTTCCCAAAGCTGAGCTGCAACTTTTGAACTACTACAAATTTTATCACGACACTCAAGGTAGTGCAAATTCAAACGGTGACAGAAGAGTATTAAGAGCATAGCAGTGGGCGATAAAGTCACGAATAAATACACTTCACTCATAGTCATCAATATACCAATATGATATTGGAAAACGAAATGTATTTTCAAAAACCGAGTGGTGTTGCACTAGTTTGATCAACATTTGTATGTTTCTCTTCTACTCATAAATGCTCTAATCACATAACTATATGAAGTTCATATAAACATGCTCGAAAATTCCACTCATACGAGTCTGAGCGGTCCCAGTCACCGGGTCACTCCCAACCCATCTCCTTGACCTTCCCATGGGACAGTCAGATCCAAATTTTGCAACCCGTACAATAATCATATGTACCCTAATTCCACGGTGCCGCAATCAGAAGGCACAAATTTATAGAGATGACATCCGTTTATTTTCATTTTATCTGCGTTGTATATGACGTCACCATCATCAGTGCAAAAGTTGACACATTTTTCTCTAAGAAATAGTCCTAATTGTCTGTACCAGTCAATACAATTCAAAGTAAACGTTCTACGTGCTGAAAAGGATTTCAGCTAGTTGGTGTATGTCACGTGAAAGATTTATACAATACTCAAAGAGAACTTGTTGTAATATTCCTTCCGATAATGCACTGTGATCGGGGTTGAAACAAAAAATTAAACATCTTTGTCAGTTTTGTTATTAGGACTGTTGGTTGCACTGGCTCATCCCGTCACTTCTAATCCAAAACAAACAGCCTCTGAGAGTTCCACACATCACATATCATCTTAAGTTTAAAAAGCTCTTCGAATGGCATGGCGACTGAATTTTGTTATGCCGCTTCCAACTGTTGTTATCTTTATTCCACCCCAATTCCTAGAGTTGGGATGGCCTTTGTGTAATTTCTATGTGGTTATTGCGTTCATTCTATTTTCACTCATGGGATATGCGTTTGATGAATGTTGTGTTAAGGTCAAAAAAGAGCCCAATAGAGCCCGTTGATTGGCCGCTTCCCCATTCGTGAAAACTGTATCTTCGTATCCATAAAAGGAAGTAAAATAGAAAGAAGAAGAAAGAAGAAAAAGAAGAAGTTTGTCCGTGTTGGGACTCAAACATTGAAACCAAGACCCTTATTTCTGAGCCACATGGTCACCGGTGAACACTAGTTTACTTGGTGATATGGTTGTGAAAGGTAATCTTTTTTATCCTTTGCGTTTGTTTTGTTAAGACTAGACAACATTTTACAATTTCCCTCATTTACTATCCATCCACATAGGTTTCCGATCGAAAAAGTTGAACAGAAATACCGAAGCCGTAGTAATGAAAATTTCGATTTTAGCATCTCAAAGTAGCTTGAATTTCAGTGATGAGAAGTTAAAAAATCTCTTGATAATCATAAATTGTTTTCGTATTCACTTATTCTACAATTTAGAGTCGTGATACATTTTCAGTAGATCCCATCTGTTGCTAAAGTTTTTGATGAATCCCTTTGCTTGCATTTACTGAGTGAACGGCCAGTTAGCCACGGTTAGTTCCTCTCACGCTATCTATCTTACAAACATAACGTGTACCATATTGAAAAAGTTACCTTCAAAATGTTATTTATGATAGAGTGAATGGATATTTTCGAGCATTCGTATCGTACTTTCACAACTTTAAACTAAAGGTGACGATTTGGCATCGGCATACAATCCAACGCAAACATGGGTTTACCGTATAGGCAAGCTTTAAGCGACAAACAGAATCGAAGCCGGTTGTTCGATTCGTGTACGCTAAATGTGGGACAGGATAGCCTAGATGACGATTCAATTATGAACAGAACACAATTTGCACGTCGTGCCGTTCACGCACCTTGTATAGCTCGAGGCATGTGAATCCGCACACCATACTGGTTGCCGTTGCGATGGCCGGCGTGATTCGTCCGGCAATCAGTTTACTTTTTAATCGATCCGCCGTGGGAATGCCGTAACAGGTAGCTCTCTGATTGCTGGCGGCAACGATGAAATCTATGTGGAAATTAGTATCGTCATCTTTCTCAAATTCGATCAGATTAACCTTAAATTTTGGGAGGGTGACTGAAATGTAGAAAAAAACAATATATTGGGAATAGTTAGGGAGCGCGATAAGGCAGAACACCACATACGATGGTACAGCCAGCTTTTAAAAATTGAATGATTGATCGGTGATTAATATGTACTTTGGAGGTATCAACAGTTTTGTTATGAATTTCTTCCTGGTTGTATAAAATGTGAATTGAAAGGACTATCACCAGAATAAGGAGAAACGGTTAATTATACCATCTAATCGTGGAAATAAGTTTATTAAAACACCTAGACATCGCATGTCGGACAACGTGTCATGGTTCATCCAGGGTGGGTGCAAAGTTCGCGTAATACAGTAAATCGTTTGGTTGTTTATGTTAGCCCTTTTGTTTGCTGATGGCAACGAAATAAGGATCAGTATACTCCTGTCGAACAATCTTCTTTTTGAACTCATACATTTTATCCTCCTATTCAAAGCAGAAGTTCAACCAAACTTCAAATACTTCTATCAGGTCGAATATGGAGAGTGCGGATAGGGCATGTCTCAAAGGGTCACGTAGATCATTTTCAGTCAGGCCCCGTTCAAGCTGATCAGCCTTTTCCTCCGCACACTGATCGCCTCACAACTGAACCATCGTCATCACTGGAGTGTTATTAACACTAACCTTCTACAGTAGTTTCTATTTTTATTTGATCTATCTGACAGCCCTCACTGTTACCGAGTATCTTTTCTGCAAATGTCAGGTATCGGGTTCTCAATCATATCTAACTTTGCATGACCCCTTTCTGTTTTCCGCTTCTCAGTACCGTATTTTAATGATCCATTCCATCTTGCGTTCTAATAAGGCCTCACAGCATGGGACTTTAATTTCCAATCGCGGGTTGAAGGTGGTTATTTGGAAAATTGATTATTTACAAAATACTAACATTATGTAGTTCATTCCCTGGAACAAATTAAGTATCGACAACTGTCTATATAAATTTCACAAATTCCAAACTAGCATTCACATTCGCGGGATGATCGTATCTTGACACTGTTAACCACCGTGTCGACAAACAATTTCACTATCGTTTAGCTTTAAACTGATCGTATTAAAACCTAATATGGCTCATTACACCAAGTCAGGATCTCCAAGGCCTTAGCCAAGCAGCAGGTCCCCGTGAATATGAAATTCGTCAACACAAATATAGATCAAAGTGAGATGTGAGACCAACTTAAACAAGGGCATTTAAAGTCAGAAATGTTTAAAGCCGATAAGAAAGCAGCATGTTTTAAGCCAGAAAATTTACATCAATAATTGTTTTAGTCATGTGACAGGAAAACGTGTCGAATCAAATCTCAGTGCATGGATGTCAGCTTGGTTCCCCAAAGCGCTAAGAAACTCACCGGAATTTTGCAATGCCGTGCGATTCGTTTGCATCCGCTGAGAATCTTCCACTGAATTGTCGACGTCCTGTTCCGCATCTGTGATTGGGATAAACACATCCTCTTTCGGTACGAATTCGGGCACATTGACCTTAACGAGTATGGATTTTGCCCGGGACTCATCACGGCACGCGTTGATGTTAAACATATAGGCACGCAGATTTGCGGCGGCCATAATAAAGCTCATATGTTGCGGCTGAACGGATCACAGGATGGACAGACAGAACACGTTTGACGAAATTAAAACAACAACAACAATCAGTATATGCAGATAACTATGTGTATTGATATTAGTCATACGGATAGATAAAAGTGCCAATCATATGATGCCTTTGGAATGCCCGTAACTTTGAGCATAAGCCACCTGAGGGAGTTCCAGTTTCCGCAAATAATGATGAGCATGCATCCATGCGCGTTGATTTAATGAATCGCTCGACCGGGCCGCGAACAATATAATTCAAGTCACAATTTGAATCCGAACACACAATGTCCACGAATGAAAGAAACTTTAGCCCATAGTAAAACATACCACGGGTCGTATCACATGCTTCGTAGCAAGTCAAGAAAACCACTCGAGATAGATAGGATGCAATCGGGATTGGTGTGCAACAGCATCGACGTATATTAATTTTATGCTAATTTGGCTCGGTAAAACTGGGCTCTTAAATCATCTTGCCTTGTGCGGACAGTTTCGTTTTCGTGAGACAGATGCTCAACTCCACCTTTTTGGAAATTAATATCCAAACCTTTTATGCGCTCGTGGGGTGTGTGATGGTAAAACAACAATATTTTTGAATAAACCGGGAGTAGAATAAAGGTCAAAGAAAGGATTATCGATGTAATGCATTACTGCCTCGAAAGTTCACGGTTAGGAAGCGGCCAAGGATAAATAAGCAAGGGAAGGCTAAATGATCACGGGAAACATTTTGGCTCAATGTGTGTGATGGCCTAAGGCATATCAATTGAGTATCCCGTATCTTGGGCTCGACACTGGCTCACCTTTGTGGCCCAGTGTGGATTAGATTCTTGTGTGCTTTGAGGTGCATGCCTCACTGTTCCATTTATGGAAGTGAAACGAGAAGTGGACATGGACTCAGAAGGAAAAGTAGCCATTTATTTATCGCTGTCAAAGTATTTCGTTAGCACGTACGCCTTGTTTCATGCAGACGACAGCGTGCTAGTTTGCATCGCCAATTAAGGGGAACTGGGGAAGTCGAAGGTACGAGAGTTCGTGTACTGTGCACTCCGTTTTATTTTTATGTATATTCTTTTATTTGAGAGGAAGCTTTCGGCCGTCTAGTCAAGTAAACGTCCACAAATGGGATGGAATAGGTGTATAATGATCGATTCAGATGTAAACCTAAATGGTGGGTGAATCGGAGTTTAATGAAATGCCAAATCGGTGGTTTAGTCAGTCACATGAAAGATGACATTTGTTTAGAGCATGTATTCAGTGTGGTTGAGATAGTCATCCCCAGTTCGGCATGTCGATGGCGGCAAAAATTGCCCCAAGGAGTGAAACCGGAGGAACACCAATTTTGTGGTGTTGGTGGTCAAGTGGTGAACGTTTCTGCCTTTGGTGGGTCTTAGGTCTTTGTTTCGAGCCTAACCGCTATCCTTCCATTTCGTTTGCAAGCAGTTTCCGTGTTTGGTGTCTCTCTATCATTGCGGCCTTGAGTAGTTTAGCACAGTCGGTCCTCAGGACTGATTTTTGCAGCTGTTCACACGTTGACAGGAACTAAAGAAAAATCAAGGATTAATTCTTTGCTGGTTGCGACCTGGGATGTTTACGGGTAACATTACTCTCAAGTGAAAATGTGGATGGAAGTAAGTGAGAGAGAGATGACCCCAATGTCTTGCTTAAACATTTTATTTAAAATGAATAAGACGGTATAAACTTAAAAATTAATGTATAATAAACATGTGTCAGGCTTAGTTAAATGTTCTGATGTCCCCGTAATTGTTAAACAACTATTCCGTCTTCAGTCTTCAGGATTGAGGGCAGAGGGCAGGGTGCCCGTGTAAGCCCCATCATCACTGGGTCGAAGGTCGGATCAAAAAGCTTAAAACAAATGAAAATTGCGTTATTATTCAATAAATGAGCTTACATTTTTAAATGTGGGTTGCATAAAAGGGCCACATTGACCGAGCAAGTTGCGGTTCGTGAACACAACTGCCGAAACCACAGCGGTTCTTACAAAATCACTGAGTGTCAGATTTGGTGAAAACAGGATTCGTTTACATTCCCAACTCTCGCTGAAGGTGATCACTGATTTATTCGATAAAAAGCGACGCATTTCCAGGTTTTTGTTGTAATTTTGCTCGTTTCAGGACAAGATTGAATTCTTCGATAGGGGAGAATGTATACTGTTTGTGTGAATTTCCTTTTCACGCTAGGAGTCGAATGGTTATTGTGATGCTCATTATCAATAGATCGATAAACTGTTGCTGAATTTGATATTGCGGAAAATCAATGTAAAAATACGATTTCCAGTTGGGGCATCAATTAGGCTGAAGACGTTGATTTTGGCGGATCAACCATCACACTTCATCTTTACACGTATTCCTCAATTCGTTTAAAGTTATCAGTTCGGCCCACTGGCACAGTTCAAGGCTCGGTTCTTCCCCACGATGGAGCTCATCACTGGTTTATCTTTCGTCTAGGGCTTAAGTTATCTCTCAAGTTAAGTTAAGTTATCTTTCAAGGCAGGTGGGTTACCACAATGTCAGACCGAGGCTGATCTGTGAACTGTGAACTTCGGTTTAGTCATCGTAATCAGTTACCTGGAGGCCTGACACAGGTTGTCACAAGCTCTCTCTAATTAGAAGCCCCCCACGAATCAGCTTTGGATAAACCAGTGGATATGCATTACTGATGAACACTAAGGAGTACGAAGCTTGCGTCTGACATTTGCCGAGTGCATATCGGACTCACGTCATAGCCTATACCTGATCATTATTCAATTACGGATTTAAGGTATAGGTGGTTTATAGAGCTAAGTTGTGAAAAAATTCAAATCAATGGGCTTGGTCCCGTTCAATTGTTTTCTATGAGACCTAAAGCTGTTCACAACTTTTTTTCATTTAGTACGGGATTCAAGTATGTGTTCGATGGATGATTGGCGATTTTTGAACAAAACATTTTTGATGTAATTCTTCCGTGCCAGAGTTCTAAACGTTCCTTTTCCGTACGAAGTACATTCTACTTTCATACCATTGATTTATGACCCGTGTGAACTGTGGAGATTACAAATGGAATACGTAGAGTTAGTATTGAAATTTTATGTTTTATTCAATCCATTATTTTTTGTTGCGTGTAGCTGAATACATTATTAATACCTCGTACATTTCTTTCTGTAATTTTGTTCCAAAACTTCAGCTTTATAGAAAGAAACTGTACACAGTAAAGCCTTACTCTGGCAAAATATTTAGCAAATGTACTCACCACAAACACGCATCACATATTGTAACGTGAAGGCGAGTCGGCTGGCAAAACGTTTGTTGATCCAATTCAAAACAACCGGTGTATGCGTTCCATTATATACAATCAATTCTTAACCGTGCATCAGGATGATTCATGCCTCATTCTGTTGGTCCATTCCTGTTGGTTTTGGTCCGCACTTAGCACGCACGTTTCCTCTTCTTCCGCGTGCCGTTCCGACTGGTTCGACCCGATTGTAGCGCGAGATACGTTGATAGATAGCTCCAACGTTGTAGTATTCGGTGGATATCTTCCTGGCTAGATGCGGATTGTCCGTTGGGCTGTAATTGTCGATTCGTTCGTTTCGAGTGGTAGTCGACATTGTCTCACGAAGTACTTCCAACCGCTACGTCTGCACACCTGGTTGGATGGGTCCTAT